AACATTGAAGGATGTGCACCACGCTTTGAGAAAGAAGTGTGGTGGCCACGAGTCATTCATTGTTCTCCGAAGCTGCCGAATAAATTCGATCTCCCCTTCTCCCTTTTAGAATTTCGTTGGTTTTTCGGCGAATCCGGCATCTGTGCAAAACGGAATTTCCTTGGTCCTTGGTCTTAAAGGGAGGGAGAGGGGGAGGCAGAAACCCCAAAAAGAGGGCAACACGACATCAATAGAATCGAATGTAAGTGGCTATGTAACACGAGCCCTCGAGCGATGGGCGAACTCGTAAAAGTACTCTCAAACCCAACCACGCCTCCCATTGGACGGGGTGGCCATGCGATGGCGCTCAACTTCAGCTGCCGACGACATGGTGAGGCTCGCCCGGCGTTGTTTCGGCTGCTTGATGGCTGACATTGCCGTGCGGATTCCAGGGGGCGGCGTCTTGGTACGGGAAAAACAACGGTGCTCCCACTAATCAGATTATGTGGAAGCCCCTCGATGGTTGGCGGCGAAGAGACGCCCAAGACAGCACAGCAGTTTCTGCTCCACCACTTCGCTTGCAGCTTCTGTACTCAACATCGAGAGCGCAATGGAAAACAGATCATCCTTCTATAGTTGGCTTTGATATGACGCCATATGGGAAGAAAAGCAATGCAAACGCGGCGACCGGTCCTGCTATTTCGTGTCGTTGTTGTTGCTGGCTTCATCTCTCTCTCTCTCTCTCTCTCTCTCTCTCTATATATAGTCTCTATATATATATATATATCTATATATCTTTTTCTCGCTTTCCCCTCCTCCCTGCAATTTTATGTGAGGTTTGTGTATTTGTCCTCTGTTTTGTGACTTGTGAGTGGATAGGTCAAGAAATGGAAGGAGGTGGCTTCCTTCGTTCCTTCATCGCTCCAACCACTGGCCAGCATTAACAAGTCAGAAGATCTTGCCTTGAGATTCCTGCCAGACGGGTTCTCGGACCACGCGGTCTCAGTCTTCGACACTTCCAAGAAACGCCCAGCCTTCTAATGTCGATGTGCATATGTCGTTATGCGCACTATCCCCGTCCATCTTCGGAGGACGTGAAGGAGGCAAGGCCCTTTTTCCGAAACCTACGACACATACACTACAGAGGGCAAAGGACAAGGAGAGCCCGGGATAGGAAAAGAACAACCTACGAGGGTGGCGATGTTATTTAGCTTCAAGTGGCAGAATCCCCGACAAGCCACTTTGCCTGGCCGGCAACCACAACACGCAAACAATCCCGCTTTTTTGTGCTTGTTTTGTGACGGGTTTATGCCACCATATTTGCTCGTCTTGTCGAGGCAAGGTTGAGTTGAGTCTTGCACGGAGCATTTGCCCCTTTCCACGCCTCGTCGATCGATACTCTCCGGGTTCGATTCACAGTCTTCGTCTGTCTTGCCGGGTTGCTCCGCGCATATTATTGAACATCGTAATTGTTTTGGTCTCTTTCTCCTTCTTGCTTTTCTTCCCCCTCCTCTTCTTTTGCTTTCCCTAGCCTTCCTCCCTAACGCGCTAGACTTCCGTATTTTCGTGTCGCGAAAGAGGGGAATGCAAAACTTGTAAACAGAGGAAAAAGTTTTTTCGTTCTTTTTATTTTTATTTTTTATGATTCGGCGCAGGCGCTCAGTGTGTCTACCGATTGACTTGCGTAGTTTTGCTGTATTACCAAGAGCCTACTTCGCCCAGTTGGATTCCTCGGTCCCGACCGTGGTGTCTTGGCGCCGCACCGTCCGAAGCCGGATCAGGGCGCAAGTTGCACTGCGTCATTTTCGCCCGGCGGGCTGAAGTGGGGATCGATGCGGAAGACAGGCGTAAAGAGAGGGGAACCGACTCTGGACACCTATCTGCGTCCGAGTGCAGCACAAGAAAGGAGGGATACGGAGAGCAAGGAGGACTCCATTTCGTAGCCTTGACCTCAGCTCCTGTGGTCATTCCCCCATGTTTACTCTAATACGGCATACCAGCCTCGGGAAACCCATGCTGACGTGTTGGGACAACCCTTCAGGGGGTAGCCTTGCGCTGGGAAGGTTGCCGGGGTTCGCGGCGGCATATAAATGGGGTGGAGTTTGAGCCTCACAACGTGGGGATAACCCCAACATGAGACATTGCAATGGCGTTCGGCCGTTTAAGGCCATCAGATGCGGTGTCACAAGTGCAATGACAATATCAAGGAAAAGGCTCTAGAGATTTGTATACCTCGTATGACGCACAAGAAAGAAAGGATATAGCAGGCACCAGACGCCTCCAACTCGGCGAGAAGAGTGTAACAAACTTGAGCCTAACCCTCAGCCAGAAAAGCCGCGGGACATGCCGCTTGCAAGGCCGACTATCTCTAAGCTTGAGTCGCTCAATGTTGAGAAGAGGTCTGGAATTCCTCGGCGTTAGCCCTTTACAATTCACCTACTCAAAGTCCAAGGCGCGCGAGGGTCGCAAACAAGACCCGGTCGCGTAGGAACGTAGGAAGGCATCCTCTGACAGAAATACAACCGGCCCAAACATCGTGAGAGAATCTGCTCACAATTTCGGGTCAGAAATAGATGCCCTAATTGCCGTGTCTAGGGTGCCATGTGCAAGGCAGAAGAGGCCATTGTATGCTGAGACGTTTAACCCCGCCCGCGCCGGGCGTCGAACGTATCTTCGGTTCATGGACCATGCTTGCTTCACCTGTTGCCATTCCTTGAGCATTATTATTACTACTATTATTGGGAGGCCATTCATGAGTTGGCCACCGAATAGTGGTAAAGCCACGAGATGAGGGAGGGCATTGGTTGGCCTATGGTGCCTCCTTGCGAGACCAGATTGTGCCAAGAATATTCTGTCCCATCCCTCACTAGATGGTTGAGAAACGGGCGAACGAATGGAGAGCGGTCATGAAGTCGCGAGGCTGCGACGAAGCGTCTCCAACGACATTTCCTATGACATCCCCGTCACTGCTTCACCACTCATTCCATCCATCGACGTCCATCGTCGGTCATGACTTCCAGCGTGAAAGGTAATCGCCGTTCCACGAGGCTTCCTTGATCTTCAGATCATCCTCTACCTTGTTTCGCATAGAGGCAAAGGTAGTCGGTGCCTCCTGACATAGACAGGCCGCGAGTTCGAGGGGGTTTCAACTGTCATCTTCCTGCGGATGGCTATGCAGGCGAAAGGGAGATGAACGCCCGTCCCGTTTCTCACCCCCGCCTAGCGTCCTCGTGAAGGGGAGGACAAGTCGAATGTTGCGTAACAATGCGCAAAGGTATCAGCGCATCTGACGAGATTTCGTGGTTCGTGGTGATCGTTTGCATCCATCGAATGGTACTTTGCCCTCGCACACCCTTCACACACGAATTTTTTTCCCGCTCCAATTCTCGCCAGTCCGCCATGTTGAAGCTGGGCGTGGGTTCGCCCGCATTGAGGCTCCGCGTGGCCGCCGGCCCTTTCAGCCTGAAAGCTTGCTCCTTCCACACCCATTCAAATGGGAGCCGCACTCGCTATGTATCCGCCAGCATTCAGACCTGAGGCCGTGCGTTGGGAACCGGGATCCCGTCATTAAGGCTGTTTAGAAAAGCGCCGAACAATAAGTTGATCCATCTTTCCCGATGGACGGACGTCCCGATAGAACCACTTTTGCCCGTTCGCTCCTCCACTCAAGACCTCACCTCTTTGCTCCTTGCACCCGCACGTAGACGCTCGCGCCATTCACATATGCTTTGGATATATGACGCTCGGGTTGGAACAACGAACCATTGTCATAAGCCACGAATAAAGCGCGGTTGTGCCTTCCCCATGGCTTGTGATTTGTGAGGACCCCTGGGCCAATTTGCCTGTAATAACCCGCAGCAACGCTCATGGAAAGAGGTTGAGAAACAAAAAACCTCACGTGGATAGTCGCTGACAGGGGAGAAGGTTTCAGATCATAGGAGAGAAAACCTCACGGGCACAACTAAGCTCTTTCTCTTATTATCTTGATAATGCGAGTCTCCTGACCTGGAGGCACCAGTCAACGAAACCTGGAAGCGGGGAGATCTGGCCAGTTGTCGCAGCGGGAAATGAGCCAAAGCGAGATGAGGCTTTGTGTGAACAATTATTAGCCAAATGGAGATGAGGTAGTGTACAAATAACAACAAACATGGACAAGAGACGCTCCTCCAGTCCTAGCCACGGACTTTGCGCGCACGGAACTTGGGTGGGTGTCAGCCGAGAGATGCGAACCAAGGGCCAAGCGCCAGCCACCTCAGCAGTTGACATACACGTATCCACGGATCGTCCTCTATGCGAGTCGACGGCTGGATCTTGTGTTACAGAACATGAACGGGGGCAAATCTCTGCCATGCAAACCAAAGATTCCGGACTTACCGGTCCGTGAAGAGCGGGTCGGGGATGCGCACTATTAGAGATTGCCCTGTTCTGGAAGAGTTCCATTTGGGGTTGATTGTCGCGAAAAATTGGGCGGTTGCTTGAGGACGGGCCACTGCACCGCTCACCCCCACGTGACTTTGTGAGCAGCCTAGAGCTTGGAACCACCCGTACACTCTGCCGTGTGCTGTGTGTCAGGATTTGAGATTGAAATGCCCTTGAGGGCTTAAATTTTCGCTGGTATGCGGCCCTGTTGGATGTGAGTTTCTGGCTTTCATCGATGCTACTTGTATTCATGCGATTGGCATAATATTCTTTGCTTCAAACTGGTGCGAGCAAGCTCCACCCCTGTTCTGGTCAGCCACTTTGGCATGCTCTGGTCACAATTGATCGCAGCAGCTACTATGTAGTAGTGGCAAGGTGGTGACGCTGCTGGTGGACGAACATAGTAGTAGCCCCCGACGGTCCGAGTCATTCCAGCACAACCACGTGACCCCGCAAAAACTATTTTCCGTGGCTAGATGGCAGCGCTTCTGATTGGATAAGAAATTTTTATCTTGTGGAAGAGCTTCGTAAAGAAAGCTGACGATGGTTCTGAGCAGAGGAACAGTTTCGGCATCGGAATCCTCTTCAATAATATCACATCAATGGCGAGCCTATCCGCTACTAGGCCTTGCATAAGCAGGCTTCTCCGGCCATGCGACCTACAGGCGGGCTCTGCAGTCCTTGCCCAGACCGGCTTCGCGCCAGCCGTGATGCGCGCCTCTTTCTCCAGCACCGCGCCGCAGTGCAAGCGAAAGGTCCGCCACAGCAAGACGAGAGACAACAACCGCTTTAGAGGCGTCAGTCTTCTGCGAAGAACTGGTCTTCGCGAGCCAGTGTCCGTATCCGATGAGCCCTTGCCCCGTCCCGCCAATTTTCTCCCCGATATCAAGGTCGACCCGAATCACGGACTCTATGCCTTCTTCGCCGGACAGGACAAGCTTATGAACACGCCAGCTGAGGACCGAGAGCACGGGAGGGCGTGGACGGTTGAAGAGCTGCGTAAGAAAAGCTGGGAAGATCTACAAAGGCTCTGGTGGGTTTGCTGCCGTGAGCGGAACAAGATCGCGACCGCCGACGTCGAGAGGAAGCGGGCTAGGATGGGATTTGGTGCGGCCGAGTCCAAGAACCGAGATGACGCAGTATGAGCGACCCCAATCTCCTTTGTATATCCCTCCCTTTTGAGAAGCAACCGTGCAAGCTAACAGTTTTCGCTTTTCAACATCTCTAGGTCAAGAAGTCGATGAAGTCCATCAAACACGTCCTGACAGAACGATTCTACCTGTGGGAGGATGCCTACGAACTTGCCAAGAACGATCCCGAGATCAATCTATCTGGCCAAGGGGATGTCTACGTGCCAATAGAGGACCAGCAGTATTTTGAGGAGGAGGACGCGAAGGCGGCGAAGGTTGATGGGTCAGAACCCATCAAGCCTGCTCCTGCTGTTTGAAAGGGATAGTTCCCTTGTCAATTCCCCGACTTCCGCTGAGCGGTTAGCCGCAGCAGCATGTTCGAATACGATGAACGACGAAAGGCTTATGCCACTGGAGCTTGAGGGTGGTGCCGAGTTGTAAAGCTTGTAGGATATGTACTATACATAGATACTCAATCAAATTATCGTGGACAAATCCGAAGGAGGCCCACAAAGGCATTGTACCTGAATCCCCCTAGTGAATAATAGATTATTGCTCGTTCCTAATTTCAAAGTATTGTTCGGTGGATCAGTTCATATAAGCCCCGACCTGACCTACCGTTTGAGTTGGCCAGGTGAAAGAAAGTTGATGCTCAAGTGCAATTTCGCAATGTTAGACGTGGATCGCTGTTCAGGGCATTTGCCCCTGTGATCCTTTGAATTGCCTGCTCGTTTAAAAAAGGAGGCTATACCATGTAGGGAATTGATGGTGGGCGTTGGTGATATTATTATATCAATAAAGGGCATGGTCGAGATCAATTGTTGCCCACTTGGATGGGGAGCGAGGGCAAGGCCCAATCGTGGAATCCTGACGAGGTGCCGGGCTGTTTTTATTTGAGCTTAGCTATTATCACCCGTACATGTCATAACACCTGGGCAACGCTGCCGGCGAACCTAAGCGGTCAGGTTTAGGTTGCCCCTCAACTGAGGAGCATTGATTGATCCAAAGCGGTGCACTAAACCCGTGCTGCCTCCTTCCTTCTCCTGACCTCCCGCCTTTCCCCAAAAGCATCACCACGCGCACTTGAACCTCCACTCTCCACCTTCCTCTCCCCAAAACCCGTGCAAGCGTATTGATTATTCCCTTTATAATACCCATTCACCGCAACCATGGACGAGATCGCCAAGGAATACGATGTTATTGTGCTCGGCACTGGTGAGCTCCTGACCCCCTCATACCCTTTGACTCCCCACCCGTGCTCCTTTTAACAGCCCCGCACATCAATGACGGTGGGGTTGTTTCAACCCCCAAAGCCCATCTGGAGGTCCACGAGAACGGTGAAAAGATGAGAATTGAAAATGCCTCGATAGATTTCTAATTTTTTTCCTGTGCAGGTTTGACCGAGTGCATTCTCTCTGGGTAAGCATTTCAGCATGTTTAATCATTGGGCTTGGGTTTCCTGCCTTGTATCTTTGACTAACAGCCTTCGTCTTTTTACAGTGTATTGAGTGTCAAGGGAAGGAAAGTTCTTCACATCGACCGCAACGACCACTACGGAGGGTAGGTTTCTCTTTTCCCAGATGGCCATCCCGGTCCTTCTCGCCCGGACTAAGCTAACAATCTGTGTCTAGCGAGGCTGCCTCTCTCAACATCGAAGCGGTACTATTCTCTCCTATTCCTCGACAACCCGAGCCCCTCCTTGGACCATATTGCTAATACATAGTCCACCTATAGCTATACAGGAAGTACGGAAACTTCCAAAAGGGCGAGGAGCCATGGAAGAAGTATGGCCGCGTCAATGACTGGAACATTGATCTTGTGCCCAAGTTCCTCATGTCTTCGGGAGAGCTCACCAACATTCTCGTGTCTACCGACGTTACCCGATACCTCGAGTTCAAGCAGGTTGCTGGAAGCTACGTTCAGCAAGGTGCCGGCGGCAAGGCTACCGTTGCCAAGGTGCCCTCCGATGCGGGCGAGGCTCTCAAGTCTCCCTTGATGGGCATTTTCGAGAAGCGCCGCATGAAGTCCTTCATTGAGTGGGTTGGCGCGTTCGACCTCAAGGACCCCGCCACCCACAAGGGTAAGTGACCTTTTTGGGGGTTGCACTTTTTCTAGGCCACGTATTTGTGGGGAATTGGGGGAATAGCATCCAGTTGGTACCTGGCTAACCTTTCGAGTAGGCTTTGACTTCAACAAGGTCACCATGAAGGAGGTCTTCGACAAGTTCGGTCTCGAGGCGGGAACTCGTGACTTCATCGGCCATGCCATGGCCCTTTATCTTACCGATGATGAATACATCAACGTCACTGGCAAGGCACCCGAGGCTATTGAGCGAATCCGCCTCTACGGTAACTCGGTTGCGCGCTACGGAAAGTCTCCTTACATCTACCCCTGTACGGTCTTGGAGAGCTTCCACAGGGCTTTGCCCGTCTCTCGGCTATCTACGGCGGTACCTATATGCTCAACACCAATGTCGACGAGCTTGTATATGAGGGTGATAAGGCTGTCGGTATCAAGGCCACGATGTCCGGTGTGGAGGAGATGAAGTTTGAGACTAAGGCTAAGATGATTCTTGGTGACCCATCTTACTTCCCGGGCAAAGTCAAGGTCGTTGGCCACGTCCTCAGGGCTATCTGCATCCTGAACCACCCCCTTAGCGGCACGAACGACAGCGACTCTTGCCAGCTGATCATCCCCCAGCACCAGGTCGGCCGTAAGAACGGTAAGTGAATTTCAGAAGCGCCATTCTTCCCCGGAAGTCAAGAGCATCTACTGATTATCTCTCGCCTCTCTCTGCAAAGACATCTATATTGCTTGTGTCTCGTCTTCCCACAACGTCTGCCCCAAGGGTTACTGGATCGCCATCGTTTCCACAATCGCCGAGTCTTCTGCCAACCACCACCTTGAGCTTCAGCCTGGCCTTGACAGGCTTGGAAAGATCGAAGAGCAGTTCATGGTATGTGCTTCCTACCCCCTTAATTGTTTACACGTTGGGCGTCCCCCCACCCTCCTGCATACAAGGCGCTGACACCCCCTCTTTTCGCCAGGGCGCCCCTATCCCCATCTATGAGCCTCTTGACAACGGCACCAAGGACAATATCTTTATCTCCAAGAGCTACGACGCTACCAGCCACTTTGAAACCACCACGGATGACGTCAAGGACATCTACTCCCGTTGCGCCGGTGAGGAGCTCGTAGTCGAAGGCCTTAGGGAGGGCATCAATGTAGAGGAGTAGGCTGCAACCGCCTACGCGGTTGCGGGTGTTGGGAAATTTAAGACTGGCGCATTAGCTGTTTGGGCCCCGAAGAGACGTTGCGAACAAGAACCAGGCGGAGAAAGTTAAATACGATATTAGCTCACCCCACGCCCAAGCCTAGGAAAAGGCTTGCGTAGTAGGTAGTGCTTGCACTAAACCTCATTTCCAGAGAAATAAGAACAAATAATTCTGTATTGCGCTCGATGTGCAAGTGATGAGCATCTCCGGGGTACATATAGTGGGGCCGGTCTATATTGATCACAATGGGGGCATTGTGGTATCGGGCATCAACTAGCTGTTACGCCCAGTGCTGCCTCCCAACGGCATTTCTCAATGCAAGTCAGGCGCCAAATAGAAAAATCGAGAACATCGGACAGAGCATGGGGTTGGAATTTACGCTGGTCCCGGAAACGTGCACACCCGTGACTATCATAGATGTGGAATCATGTTTGTTTTTATAATGAAAAAGGAGAGAAAAAGACAACTAGTAAAAAGTTCCACGAAAAGCGAACAAAGGACGCTCAGTATAGCCCTCGTTAGTCAAGTTGACAAGTGTCTGGGGCTTTTTCCATTTTTTCTTTTCGTTTACCAGACGAAACCAGCCAGCCAAACGCCTCCATGCCCTTAACACTTTTGCAGTCTTTTGAAACCCCCAAGCGATTTGCGGTCGTGAAAAGCAACGTTAAACAAGAACCACCCATGTGGTGGGCCACGGGAGATGATGATAGAGAGACAGGATATGGGGAGAAGATGAAGAGCAATGAAGCGGGTATCGCCGAGGGGGAAGGGGTTATATCGAGATACAGAAACGGACAAGACAAGCGGGAGCTGCTTAGCGCCTGTTCGTCTTTCCGATGCCACGCTTTCCAGCAACCTATGGGGGAATGTACGTTAGCAGGGTGAAATAAAAAAAAAGGAAAAAGAAAAAGGAAGGCAAGATAGAGAAGAGCAGATTTAAACTTACCAGATGCTTTGCCAAAGACGCCGTCTCATGTCTGTCGGCCTCACCCTGCCTAGCCATCCTATTCATCCTCTTCTGGTTGAGTCTGGTGAGCTTCTCGGCTCTGGTTCGGCCAGACTCGGTTGTAACACCATCATCCTGCCTGTTGGATCTAGGCTGACTCCTAGCTCGGCTCATAGCCCTGATGCGGTCCTTTGCGGCCTGGAGGGTGTTGGGGTCGACGTCCATGGCATCCTCAGTGCCAAGACGACTCCTAGTCGTGGATCTTCCACGACGGGGAAGCTGTTCTTGCATGGCGGGCAGGAAGCGCGACGTATCGACACCGAGAACGTCGAGAGCCTCATCCATCTCGGACAAAGTCTTCTTGGTCTTGGATCTGGGCATGATGGGCCTGTTCTTTAGCCTCTTCTTCAACCTGGCGTCATTCCTGATGAGACTGATCTTTTCGCGAATCTTCTTGGCGTCTTCGAGAGCCTTGCGATCCTCATCGTCGGTCAACTCCTCCTCCTCGTCATAGTAGCCTTCATTCTCCAGACGCTCTTCCTCGGCCTCAAGCTCGGCGAGCTTCGCTTCAATATCCGGGTCGATATAATCCGCCACATTCTTGCCATCCACAATCTCGGGGATCTTGTCGTATTTCCACTCAGGGTTCTCCAAGAGATAATCGGCCTTGAGGTCGACGTTGAACACGCCAGCGCCGCCGTTCTCGACTTCAACATCACGAGCGAGCTTCCGGCGCTCGGGATCCTCTTTATCGTACTTCTTCAGAGACTTGACGGCATCTGGGATAAAGGTCTCGCGGGTGGCGCCGCCCATGGGTTGCGCAACGTGGATGCGAGCCATGACTTCCGCCAGGCGGCCGCCAATCGCACCGCTGTTGGAAGTGCCAGCCTTGAGTTTCTGAGATACTCTCTCGGCAATCAGCCTCTCGCAAGCGGCATTCTTGGCCTCCTGAACACCCTCCTGTGTGTTGCAAGAAAGCTGGAGAATGTCCGTAACCTCGCCAGACTTCACTAGGGACTGGATTTGCTCCTGGAGGTCGGGGCTGAGGTCCTCGGGCTTGGCGACATCAATCTTGTTGATGGCCAAGAAGACAATCTTGTTGGCAAACAGAGGGCGGATGCTCTTGAAGAGGGCGATTTGGGCAGAGACAGGGTAGCCACACTGTTCACTAAGATCCATGAAATAGAGAATGGCGGCGCGAAGGTGAGCAATGGCGGTGATGGACTGCATTTCGATGGTGTTCATTTCCTCTAGAGGATGATCCAAAATTCCCGGTGTGTCGATAGCACAGAACCTCAGGTAAGAATGGTCGAAGTGTCCGACGAACAGACTCTTGGCTACCGAGAGTGTCAGCCTTTGGGATTGGGCGGGATGCTGTGCACGAGGGCATAAAACTTACTTGTGAATGCATAGGGCTGGACATCAACATCGGCCCTGGTGATGCTCCTCAAAAACGAGGACTTGCCGGTGTTGGGGAAACCGCAAATCAGAAGAGTGCGGGTATTGGGGTCGATGGCGGGCAGACGGCCAAGATGCTGGCGGACCTGGTCAAGGTACAGAAGAGGCTCCTTCAACTTCTTGACAATGGTCGCCATACGACCGAGGGCCGCACGCTTGAGCTGTTTGCACTGGAAGAGCGACTGCGCATACTTGATGAGTCGGACGTAATCGCGGGAGACGGTCTCGACGAGGTGCTTGGCGGTGCTCAGTTGGCCGAGAGCAATACGGAACTGATGAGGGGCAAACAAGAGGTTAGATTGTAATCTGGGGAGCAGAACAAATGCGTAGTTTCAGGTGGACAACATACATGGTCGGCATCATATAGAGTGTTGAAAAGATCCTTGTGGAACGGGTGAACGTCTGCACACCGAGTTAGCATAGGTCATTGAGGTTCACAGGCCGCCAAGAGAGGCAGAAGCGAGGCATGGCCGGATCTGGGTGTTCTTACCATTCAACCTCGGGAAGGCTTCAATAATCTCCCCAAACCTCTCACTTAGGGTCTCTTGGGTGAACTTGACTTTTCTCGTGTAGAAGGCTCGGATACGGCTGATCTGGAAACCGGCACGGATCTGGGTGGGGAGGCGGCGTTGGGTGCGGCTCAGGGTGATGTCGATAAACTCCTGCGCCGTAGGCACGGGCGGGATATCCTTGAATGAAGTCCTCATGGTGGGCGTCGTGCGTGGCTGGCGTCGCAGTTGGTGAGGATATTCGGAGTCTGAGAGGGAGGGGAGGGAGGTGATGAGAAGTCGAGGCCAAAGGTCCCTGGCGGCGGCTTCGAAGGCGGTGGGCCAAAAAATCTTTTTCTGCTGAGAATGGATTTTTTTGGCGAAAACTAATGTGGAGGGCGGGCTTTGCGGTACGTACCTAGCTTATCTTATCAGGATCCACTTTTCTGCCCCGCATACTCTTTTTCTTTTTTCTTTCCTTTTTTTCCTTTTTTCTTTCCTTTTTTCTTTTTTTCTCTACCGAATCCCTTGCACCCCATTGACTTCATCATTTTCCTATCCTCGCCAAAGAGTCGCTTCAATGTTCCCTCTGGGTTTGACGGCTCATGGCTCCTTGAACATCTAGCTCCATCAACCGCAATGCTGTGATAAGTTGGGATTTAAATGGGAAAATGTCAAGGAGTGTCAACAGATTCTTCATTATATGTATACTGTCTACAATTAATCGAAATATATCTGTTACAGAGTCCATCTTCCTTTCCCATGGTCTCGTCTGCTTCTTGAAGCCTTGACTAACAAGTTAGCTCAAGCTGCGTGTTTGGCAGTGGCCATCACTGATCTTGTCTTTTTTTTTTGTCTTTTTTTCCCGCACCCTTAGAAAGGATTGCCCCTCCTCACCCCTCCTCACCCCACTAAAAACTCATCGCATCTTTTTTTTTCTATTTTACATGTGGACTTAATTTGATATTCACTTCACAACACCAGGTTCCCATCGTCTATCTAACTTACCCGTTGTTTGTTTCAGTCAACGAAAGCAAAATCTTTGATTCTCTTGGGCTCCCCTCGATCTCTTTCCAGCATGGCTCTACCTCAATACAAGGCGGATTTCCTCAAGGCCGCCATCGATGGCGGAGTTCTCAAGTTTGGCCAGTTTGAACTCAAGTCGAAGCGCATCTCGCCCTACTTCTTCAACGCCGGTTCCTTCTACCGCTCCGATCTCCTCCAGTCCATCGCCCACGCTTTTGCCAAGACCATTATCGAGGCCGTTGACACGACGGGACTCGAGTTCGATATCGTCTTCGGACCCGCTTACAAGGGAATTCCTCTCGCGACCCTCACTACCTACTGCCTTGGCGCCCTCGAGCCGAGGTTCGCCTCTAAGTGCTACTCATTCGACCGAAAGGAGGCCAAGGATCACGGAGAGGGCGGTAACATTGTCGGTGCCCCGCTCGCGGGAAGAGAGTGCTCGTCGTTGACGACGTAGTGACTGCGGGCACGGCGAAGAGGGAGGCCATCGACAAGATTCGCAAGGAGGGCGGTATCGTTGTGGGAATTGTCGTTGCGCTCGACCGTATGGAGAAGCTTCCTTCCCCGACGGCGACGATACCAAGCCCATGCCGAGTGCTATCGGAGAGCTGAGGAAGGAGTACGGTCTTCCCATCTTCTCCATTCTCACTCTCGACGATATCATTGACGGCATGAAGAGCTTCGCCTCTGAAACGGACATCAAGAATATCGAAGAGTACAGGGCCAAGTACAAGGCCAGTGATTAGAGCTGGTGCATCTACAATTCTCGAAATTTCGCGTGGCGTGAAGAAAGATAATACAAAGACTCGATGGGCAAGAGGAGCAAGAGGAGCAAGAGGAGCAAGAGGAGTAGAGATGCGCGTGTCTCGGCGCTAGAACAATAGGCGATGAATAATGCTACCTAACCACATGGCCATGGATTTCTCATCTTGGGTGTTTCAGCTAGTACACGGCGACGGGATGAAACCGAAAGAAGAAAAACGAAATGGAGAAAGAAAAAGAGGAAAGAGAGGAAGCAAGTGTGCCCAGCTAATAAAAATGGCTGAAATGCGCCCCGTCACGCCTATTCATTTTGTCTCTTTCTTAGCCAAGCCCCTCCATGCATGGATCCATGATGGATGCATCCTGCACACGGACTAAGACCGCGACCGGGAGCGCGGTGCGCACAGTATCGCCCATACTCGCACGAGTGGTTGTCGCCAACCCAAATTTTGTCTACTCTCCTGTATGTAAACCTTTGCAAGCTAAGACGGGGTCGCCTTCGCATCCACGGTGTCTTTGAAATCATGGACCTACGGTTTCCGCCATTAGTGCGAGGCGCGCTATTACACCGTGCTGGGCATGTACGGTTCAATCACAGTAGACCATCCGGGATCCATTGCATTGATGTTGATGCGCACAGAGGCGGGGCCTGGGGGAGAAACTCACCATGTCGTACCAGCCTCCGCCGCCAAACTGAGCTGAACTTGGACCGAGGAACTTGAACCCTAGCTTCTCATAGAATGGCACAAGGCGCTTTTCCATGGTTTACCGTTGTTAGCTGCAAGAAGATCAAGGTCATAAGGAGGGTCCCGGCCAGTGATTAGCCGCCGCCGCTTCCTCGTATCCCCTTACCTCTTCGCAGAGCAGGGCCGCTCGATCAGCTATCCTTGCTTCGTTTAGAAATCCCAAATATGTATTCATCAAGAGAGGGCCGAGCCCTAATCCCTGAAACTCGGGGAGGATCGCTAGCGAGTGGAGGCAAACGGTCCTACCGTGTGCTTTGTGGCCCACGCCGTTGGGCTGGGCATCTCTCCAGTTCTTAGGAAAGGCCATGTCCTCATCCGTGACTACAGGCGAGGTCCCTAGTGTGGAGACGGCGTGGGCGACGAGAGCGAGCTTTTGCGAAGCAGAGTCTTCTTGATTCGTTAGTTTCTCGAGCATACCTGGGTCGAGTTTGGAGAGGCGGCCCTTGTGGTCCGGGTTCAAGACGATGAAGAGGCCGTATGATATAGCCGAGCAGTTGGTCAGGCGATACTTGAACTACAAAAAGGGGAGGTGATGGTAGAGGTATAGGTTAGGAGCAAACACATCGTAGAGAACCTCAAGCAAGAGGGTTGGTCGGTCCACCCACCTTCTCCGGGGTGCATCTATGCTCGGGATTCATAAAGGCCCTCGTCTCTACAACGCTACAGGCCTCCTGGTCGGCTATCCCGAGTTCTCTAAATCTCAGGTCTAGGTGTTTGGCCTCCGAGTCTGGAAGGCCGGCCATCAGGAGTTCAAGGTGTTGTTGGGCCATTGTAAGCCGTGAGCCTCTGTTTGTCTGAGAGCTTACCGTTTTGTCGCAGGTTGATATAAAGGGCCTTGCAAGGAGGGACTTGAAGAAAAGAGATGCCCTGGGAAGAAAAGGGTCCGGTGGAGAGAGCTTGGAGAAGATGGACGGGAACTGGGTATGGAAGAGAGACGCTTGCCAATGAGGCATCTTAAGAGAGAACTTGACATGATTGCTTCTTACAAAGGTGGCCATGATGCTAACTAGCTCGTCCCCGGGAAGTAAGAGGAGCTAGTCCCCACTTTGCCCTTTTAGCGTCACACTGTTGAGGAAGGACAAAAAAAGAGGGTAGGAGGAGGAGTATTAGCTGGTAATGGTTGGCAGGGCTGTCTACTTTCCCGTGAGCTGGGAGCAAGCGTTAGTCTCAAGGTGTCTGCATGGGGTGTCTCCCGAGATGACGAAGCCAAGGGGGTTGCTGGTCGCCACGGCGTCAGCTGGCGTCTTGAGTTGGGTGAAGGCTGTAGATGCTCCGGCTCCGGCCTCTTGGGAGTTGTTTTTCCCACAGTTGATGGCTGGCGGTTGTTCTCGGAGTATTCTTTTCGGATATCCTACATCCATGTACAGCAAATGTAAATCTTGTAGGTGTTTGGTACGAGCCGGCCTATGACCCTTTCAAAGTCACTTTTGTCCTTTTCTTTTTTTTTTTTTTTTCCCCTTCCCCTTCCTCCCATCCCCCGTCCTTTGCTCAACCTTTCGTTCCCCGTTCAGCTTTTTTCGTTCCCCTCCTTTTTCCCATTCAAGGAGAAATGACCCCACCAAAAGTTTCATACAAAGGTGAAACTAATGGACCGATCACCACATCAGCAACGTTCGACTGCATCAAGCTGTTTGCTGGTGGTTGCTTAACCATGGGCGATCTTTGAAATACTCGTCCCTCTCACTTCCTCGGCGGGAGGGGCTCTTGGTAACCTCAAGAATTCTCGTATGAAGTACCTACTGGATCGATGAAGTACGTTTAGAGGTTACATCCGTTGTATACTATGAACATTGAAGGTGGACAAGGGGATAGGGTTATGGGGGAAGAAATGCCCAAAGTCCACTGCTTTGAAAACAAAATAAATTAAAGCGGAAGAGGGACACGAGAAGAGGAAGAACATGGGCAGCTTGTCATCTGTGCCTCTTCAGAGCTGCTATCTACCGGATACAATCCAGAATACAACTTACTTCTTGTGGCCCGAGCCTGGTGACCCAGTGCTCGTTATAATGGATGTGTTTAGGGCTTCCAATTTGTGCTTGGGGAAGGGGTGGAGGGTATGCCCGCTGTTTCAATCCCCTCTGCGCCCCCAAATCTCATTTCTGTTACTCAAGCTATCGACAGGTCTCCGAGTATATCCGTGTAAGTGCTCTCCCCTCAGGTGGGCATCTCTTTGTTAGCGCATCCTTTGAGATAGAAGAATGTGCCGGGTGGCGTGCGAAGCCAGGGACAGGGGACAGGGGCACGCCACTGCATCCCTCATCGACCGAAGAGGGAATAAGAAATAAAATCGCAAGCCAAACTCCAAGCTCGAAAAGAAAGCCCAAGAAGAAAACCGGGAAGGGCAGATGAGGACAGATGGAGCTGGCCCCAGAATCGCTGGATGCGTGGGGGTTTCTCGCGTGTCGATGCCACGGGGCTTGCTGAGGACCCAAGGAAGAGAAATGCATGGTCAAGGATGACGCTGGGCGCGCAGGCTCGCAGGATCAGGTGCATGCATGAGAGCTTGAAAGGCAGCGGCGGCTGTTGAGGGGATCAGGGCTCGAAAGGGGTCTTACTATAATACAAGGTTCAGCTATACCTCACAGACTGCCTGCACCTCCAAGGATTGGCCGAGCTTGAGCTTCCTCCAGCAAAACCCCTCTGCCCGGGCGTTCTTTCACGGGGATGCTTATGAGGGTGCGGGGAGCTTGGACTTGAATGTTCCCAAAGAAAGAATACACACAAAAACAAAACATTCACTCATCCGGACATTGGCTCAAAGAACAAGCAGGGTCGAAACGCTGCCACCCTTTGGTCCCTTGGATTTTTGACAGGGCCAACGACCCAAAGGAGAAAACGCGAGTCCGAATTGGGATTTGCTTGCCCCTGGCTTCGGATATCCCTGATCCGTGAATTCCTTTTTTGTCATTGTGTTCGCCATCTTTTTTTCCGTGTCTTATTACTTGTATTATCTTTGGGGCGGGCTGCGAACCAGATGGGCGGTGTGCGGACTTGACGGAGTAAACATTGATCCATGACGATTACTTGGGCGGGCGGGTCCTTCACCCTGAATGGCGGCTTGTGGCTTCGATTAGCAACGTCATAGTATTCAGTAAGGCGTGGTGTCTTTGAAGGGATCTAATCGTTGTTGCTTATTCTCGCGATCTCGCAGAAAGAAAATCAGCTCGAGTGAAGCCGACACGCGTGGCTTAAGATTGATGTGGAGAGACGTGCATTAACCATCGGGGAATGACCCGCATCGCTGGGTCGGAGTGATGGGTCACAACGGACTCGCTTTTGGCCCTCTGTGCCTCTGCCCCTCTGTCCCTCTGTGAGGCGCCTTTACATCCATGTACGGTGCACGCTGTTTGATGTACAAAGTCGGTTGGGACCGCCAAATTGTACCGGTCGCCGAAGACTCACCAAGCTGACAGGTTGTTGATCGCTGCTGCGCGAAAGGTCGGCGGCCCCAAAGCTTGCGGTGAAGCTCAGCTCACCTCACCAGTCTCGGTGAGTCAACGTCAGCTCCCTCCGCAAACGCAGAAGTTCCTCTGTTTTTCTGCCTTGGCGACGGCAGGTCTCCTGACGCTGTGCACATTTTATCTAGACTTGGAAATCCGCCCGATTGTAAATTCACGTTGGGCTCAGGCGAATGAAGAAGGATCTTTGCATCGGAGCACAGTAGTGCAAGTTGGCAAGCTAATGACAAGAACCCCCATGCTGTCCCAAGAATTAGGTTGAAGGGGGTGTAGCATTCGTTTTTTCTTGTCTTTTGGGGAGGGGAGGGGAGAGGGAGGGGCGTGGTTTGGTTTGGCTTCTTGCACTATGAAGATGTTGTACGTCATCCGCACTTCGACCCGCAGCATTGTCAGCTCACCTGGCGCTCGGACTCGTAGGTGGCTCGGGAGCCAAGTCAAGGTGGGCCTGAATACAGCCACCGAACAAGTGGCGGGGGCTGAGGGGAACAATCAATGAATCAAGTGCAATTGTGCTGGGGAGAAGCGTCATCGCTGGAAGGTTCGGTGCGTTGGCTTCTCAGAACTCTACCAAGTCAACTTGTAGGGCCCCAACGGTGGACGCAGCCATTTCTCGGATGCTGGCAAGGAGCCTCAGCGAGGCTCTGCCAAGAGAGCCACAAATCGTGCATTTGTGTCCAGCATCCTTTTCGAACGCTTCGTTAGTATTATCATACACCATCGATTCGATTCCTTGCCCATGAGAAGGCCGCGATGGCAATCTCTCAGGTCGACACCGAAATACATAGAACCGATTGATGAGCCATGCGACGAGGCCTCATAACCTTCTCCCGCTCCTTCGGGTCTGATTTCGGGGGTGACAGACTCTAGGGTATTTCTGAGCAAGTTGCTCTCACATGAATTGATGGGAACAAGTCAAAGCTGCTTTTTTGGGGAGCTCTTTCTTCTCTTGTCCTCTTTGACTGTGATCTTTTCTCTGTCTTGTCTTCTTCCTAGGGCCACTTGAGAGCCGCAAAATAAATTTGTCTTGGTGACATGGCCCTGATGGTCATGCTCTTTCGGGGGATGGTTTGAAGCTCTTCTCCCTCCCCGGTACCTTAAAGCTCGATTGATGACTGGTTCCTGTGAGGTCGGAAACGGGAGGTTTTATCTTTAGCAATCATGTTTGATTTGGAATCTGCTTCTCTACGTGACTTGTGAAGACCATGTTTGGACAAATCCGTCTGGTGCGGCCTGGAGGAGGCCAACTCTTAAGGCTGTGGCGGCGAGCCGCAAATGATCCATCAATGATCAATGGATCCATTGATGGAGGTACCGCAAAGCTCGAAGCTCACAGCAGACTTGAACCCTGTTGGTACCAATCCATTTGAGCAAAGCCCAGCCAGCCTTCAATTAGTCAATTTGATCATTGGAAATGGTCGGATTACCCCGCCACCACTACCGGCCACCCACACCTCACCACCAGCTAGTACAATTGATCAATCGATACCGGATAGATCCATCAGCTCCAACCCTAGAGAAATCAATTCCTGCCCGGACCTCCTGCCCAGTACAACGCGACTCCTCGACTTTGGTTGACCGGCTCAAACGACACCAAAATCCTAGGCTGCCCTGCTTACACCACCTCAAACCACTGCCCACAATATAGGACGCTACAAGACGTGCTCGCGCTCACTGCCCACGCCCATGCTGATTCTAGCTCCTTCTCGCCTTTTCGCCTAGGTACGCGGCTGCTGCCTCCCCTCCCCTCTGTCATCCACCCTAATACCTTTCTGCACCTCTCATTCGGGACGGATACTACCTTGTTCGTGCTGCTGCCGCCCGCCTATCCAAACTGCTGACAGCCCTCCCCACCTTTTAGAGAGCTCAAGCAACTGTCAAAACCCCCGTCATCACACCTGTTTCCTGTACCTCTTCAAGATCAATTTCACACCTTGACCACCTGTCGCCCTATTCTGCGAGCCCAATCTCGAAATCCTGACCGTCTCCCTCTCCACCGCCTGTCTCTTCCGCTACGGACGCGCGCTGCTCCCTCTCCCCTCCCAATAAGCGGACATCCGGCCTCGATCATATCAACCGCCGCTCCGCAGCAACTTTCTACGTCCCATCACCCCACTCGAATCGAATTGATAACGGAGCAGAAAACAAAATGTACGTTTGTTCTGACGCTGCGGGGAGGGAACCTCGTTCTATTATCGTGCTGACCATCTCGTCAGGCGTATCACACTGAACATCTCGAACCCGGCCAGCGATGACCAGCTCATTACCCTCGAGATCTTTCCCGACATGACGGTAGCGACCTTGCGCGATTCCATATACCGAGAAACCCAGATTACCCCCGACTCCCAGCATCTCTACCACAATGGCAATCTCATCGCCAATACCTCCCAGACCATGGAACAGCTTCAAATCAAGGATCACGACCTGCTCGCTCTTCACGTGCGCGACCCGCACGTGAGCACGGGTGCACCGCAGCCTCGCCGTCAGGCTCCCGTAGCACCAAGGCCCGGCCAGCCCGACCCCGAGTACCTCCGCCTTCAGATCCTTGGTAATCCCGTAATGCGCCAGGAGCTCCAACGAAAGGACCCGGAGCTCGCTGGTGCCGTCGACGATCCCCAGCGATTCTCCCAAATCTTTCGCCAACGGGTCGACCGAGAAGAGCGTGAGAGGAATGACAGACAGCGGCTCATCCAGCAACTCAATGATGATCCGTTTGATCTCGAGAAGCAGTTGAAGATTGAGGAGATGATTCGACAGGAACGGGTCATGGAGAACCTCCAGAGCGCCATGGAATACAACCCGGAAGGTGAGAGGGCGAGCCCATGTCCCCTGACAGAGCGAGCGAGCTTTGCTGCTTTGCTGTCGAGAGCGTTGCAGTTCCCAGTTGGAAACCGTAGGTAACATGCTAACACGCTTTGAAAATTTTATTAGTTTTCGGCACCGTCCATATGCTCTATGTGGATGTTGAGATCAATGGCCACAAAGTAAAAGCCCTGGTAGACTCTGGTGCTCAGGCTACTGTAATGTCTCCCGCCTGTGCCGAAGCGTGTGGCATCATGCGCCTCGTAGACAAGAGGTTTTCTGGTATTGCTCGCGGCGTGGGAACTGCTACCATCATTGGCCGTGTCCATGTTACTCAGATCAAAATTGGCAGCCTCTTCCTTCCCTGCAGTTTTACCGTTATGGAGGGTAAAGCAGTGGACCTCCTCCTAGGCCTTGACATGCTCAAGAGACATCAAGCGACTTTGGACTTGTCCAGGGATAAGCTCATCATCCAGGGGCAGGAAGTTTCCTTCCTTGGCCCGGCCGACATCCCCAAGGAACAGGAGGAGGCGCTTGTGGAAGAGCCCACCGTTGCTGGCCCCGCAGGCACAAGAATTGGCCAAAAGTCTGGCGCCGTGAAGGGCCCTGAGAGCTCGGGGGAAGCTGAACCGTCCGCGGCCGCTTCCTCCTCCTCGGCTCCCGCTCAGGTCGCCAGCCCCGCTCCCGCGCCCCAAGCTGCACCACCTCAGCCCCAGGCACCCCGAGCGGGGCTGGCCAGCGTCAGTTCTCGGAGGATGACATTCGCTCGATAGTCGGTCTAGGGTTTGCGAGACAGGATGCCATCATCGCCCTGCAGGCGACAGACGGTAACGTTGATCAGGCTGCCAATCTTCTATTTGCTAGGACTGAATAACGATCTGTCTGCTCCTTGCTATCTTGACGACTTAAAAATGACTTCCAGCGATTACACACTACTAGCCTCTTCTTATATGTATCGATACAGATCTGAGAAAAGAAATATTACCAACTATTGACGGACAACCGTGCATCAGCGTGGAATTATAATGTACTCGTAAGATGCCTGACAGGCCCAAATAGTCGAATTGTAGTTGCTTTGTAGGCGATGACCGATCAACCCCATCACGAATCAATCTCTACCCTAGCTTTCTCTGATGGTAGCCAACCATGAAGCTATCGCGACTCTATCAACACAGAGAAGGCTCGTGCAACAAGTTGGGCAGGGGGACAATACAGATAGGCGGAAAATTAATGCGACTAGTCATGGGATTTGCTACGGATTCAAAGAAAGAGCTCGCTACATATAAAATTGCACTTTTTGCTTCTTGTAGAGTCGGATAGTGATGATGGAAAAACTAGGTATCATACGTAGTTACCCTGCAAATAGGAGACGAAAAAACCGCGTCAGATGGACGTTCTGCCCTATCACCTGAGCTTATATACACATGGCTTCAAGATCTTGCTCTCATCCACCTTTTCCACAACGGGCGGCCAGTTGCTGGCGCCCTTCCGGAATCCGCCACCACGAGGCCCTCCGGCATTGCCGTTGCTGTTACCGTTCCTGCTGGCACCATCTTTCCCAGGCTCGTCACCCGTGGAAGGCGAGGCCGCCTTGATAAAGTGCATCTTGACAAACATCCTGTTGGACATGTCGATGGCCTCGTGCTTCTCGCCCCTGAGAAGGAAGCCGCGCTTCCTGAGAGCTTCCACGAACGCGGACACATCGGTCTCGTTTCTGGTATCGTCGGTACCATCGACCTCGACCGCGAGGTCCTGCGAGAAGTCGGCGGCAGGCTTGCCCTTGGCGCCGACGGCAGCGGTTTTCTTCCTGTTCCCGACGCTGTGCGCGACGGGGTTGTTGCCTGGCCGGTTGGACACGCGGCCGAAGCGGGACTTGATCTCAGCTATCCACAGCTCGCCTTTCCAGTGGAGAATGCGATAGGCCTCGTCGATGAAGTCCAGCCAGTTGGTGCCCATGAGGGCGAGGCAGAAGACGGCCACGTTGACGGAGCCGTCTTCGAGAGGCAGATTGGCAATGTCGGCCCGGGTCACGAGGGGGCTGGGGCTCTGGAGGTCGAAGCTGAGAACCTCGACGCCCAAGCTCTCCTTCTCCGGCTGGAGGAGGGTGGCTAAGCGGGCGTCGCCGCAGCCTAGATCGGCAATGGTGCACTTGCCCCTCGTCCGGGGAGGTGGACCAGGCCGCCACCCTGGGCCGGGGCCGGGGCGACCGGGGGCGGGTTTCGGGAGCGAGGTCCGTCGCGCCTCTCGCGGGGCTGGGCCACGGCGGCGCGGGCGCGGACGTCGGCGACGTAGCCGTCGACGGGGTTCTCCGGCCAGACGTTGACCTGCTGGCGGAAGCCCGCGTGGTACTCGTCAAACATCTCGGGGAGTCCTGGAACAGCTGGAAGGCTTCCGCCGAGGGCCGTGTGTACAACGTCTCGTTGAGATGGCGGAAGCGAGCTGGGATTAGCTTGGCTCGCATGGCGGCCTGGAGGGGTGTGAGCTTTGGCGGGGCCGGTTGAGCTAACGAGCCGGCCGGCGCTTTCAAGTTCTCTGCCGGGGCCGCGGGCCCGTTGGCGGGTCGGCCGGCCTCTTCTCCTCGCCCTTTCTACCCTTCTTTTCCTTCTTCTCCTTCTTGCTCCCTCGCCTATCCTTGCCCTCGCCGTCTTGTTTTCCGCGGTTGGGCCCCTGCTCACCGGCCGCGTCCTTCTCCGGGCGACCATCGCCAGAATCTAAGGTTGGATTCTCGGCATCCGCATCACCCTCGAGGTTCTGCTGTTGCTTCTTAGACTCATTTCGTTCCTCCTTGGCGACCTTGGCAGCCCTCTTTTGTTTCTTGGATGGCTTATCTCCCGGCTTCTTTTGGTTCGGGTTCTTGCCCTCAATCACCTTTTCATACATGTGCACGAGGTTGTCAGATGTCACAGTATCAGCGCCCGGCCTCTTTCTCTTCTTGGACTTGGACTTGGAACCGCCATTTCCTCCGGAAGGGCGTTGCTCGGTCTTGAGAGCGTCTGCTGGGACCGACCAGCCTTTGACGGCGAACATGATGGGAAGGGTGGTCTTTCTTTGGCGGGGTGTGTGTGTGTGTTTTAGTTGATGGTGCCAAAGAGAGTAAGGGCTGACGGAAGAGTGATCTTAGTTTCTTTTTCTTGTAAGGGCTGTAGAATTTCTCATTGGATCTTTCTATCAACCAAGCTAATCGTGTAAACTGGTGTGGTGCAAAGCTGCGATTTTGATATCGCGGAAGGTCGAGCCTCAGTGGAGCTCTCCAAAAAAAAAAAAAATTCACCTTGCGATTCAGCGTTGTCGGCCCACCTGTTGTTAAAATCTGCCAAGGACTGTTGGCAGCTGCCGATTCTTTTTCCCTCTTCTTTTTCTTCGGGAAGGGGGCCACTGTCCCGCCCTCCTTCAGCCCCATTCTCAACTCCCACAACCTCTGGGGTCGGTCGATGAACTCTGACCAAGCGCTCACGAGGGGACCTGAAATTCCTTTCCTCCAGTGATGTTGGACTCTCACAAGAAATGCGCCCTCAATCGTATTACAAATCTTCTAAACCCCGAGATGTTAAACTTCGAGCTATCCCTCGGTTCAACTGCGCCCAGCTCCTGATCCTCCACCAGTTTGTCCCGTTCGTCCGTCTCCCGTCATGAACGGGGATAAACCTTGCACGGACATTATTGAAGGCTTGATGCTGGAGAAGAGCAGGCTTTGCCACCGAAAGGATTGTTTGGTTTTTTTATTTATATGGGGCGGATACCAAGGAACTGGCCTCCCCACTTGCGACCAGTCGCCCGAGTCATCTTGGGGCTTGATTTCTTGGGATACTGACACAGGAAGAGCACGACCAGTGCTCTAAACGTTGACGCTAGCTACCAGCTGCCGGTATTAGCATGTGGCCCCAAGACGCCCTGGGGCTGATGATCGGCCCTCCCCTTGCTCTGTTTGGCGGTGCGTTAATAGTGCCCCCATTATTAGCAAATCGTTTGTTGGGGTTGAGGCGTCAGAAGCCTGGCGATCGGATCATTCGGCAGCTGTGGACTATTCTTCGTTATGGCGATCGATGTTAGGCCGTCGTCCGGCCGTTGCGAATTGCTTCCCTCGATTCGATGACAGTTCTATACTGCCGGTTGTTGGTCATGTCCTCTCCATTGGCTTGGTATCTAGACAGGTGGTCCGGACCTCTGATTGTTGGGCGCCTCAGATCCCCAAGTTGGGAACAAATGGGGGAGACGCATCACCCTCTACGATGGAAACGAACGACCGAGGGCTAATCATGACTTGGCCATCAGAGGACGAAAGCGTGGCCATTTCGGGAACCTGGTCCGGGGCTAATTGTGCAATATCTTCTTCCATCCATGGTCCGCATTTCCCCTTCCTCGGTAGTCCGGATCCGACCCGGATGCTAGGAGGCCAATGTGCAAAAACCCCTCCAACCGGCGACGGCCAGCTCACTGATTGATTTGTTCATCGCGCAGGGCCTGTGGAAGCATATTCCCCGGGCCAATATCCCAGCACGAGCAAGAAGGCCTCTGGGTCGAGGTAAAACACGATGATGGCGCTAGCCCAGCTCGCTCCTCCGCCCCTCGTCCTAACTTGTTAGTGGTCAGGGATGCTAGCTACTAGTTTGGATAGTACCTTGGCCGCGTTGCTATCGCAATAAGAGTTTGGTGATAGGTCCCATGTCCGTAGTGGGCACAATGTGCCACTCTTCACATGATCCTCTTCTTCTCTTCTCCTCCCTCGTAATGGCTGTGTCAATGGACGAGGATACAGGGAATAGGAAGGAGGATGACGATCGGAATACAACTTAGAAGCCTTGTGGAAGTCCTTGATTCACCGGACTTGCACGGGATCCCTTTTCTCTCCCTTTTATTTCATTTCATCTTTATTTCCTCTTTGCAATAAAGCCTTGTCACTCGAGCCCTAGTTTTGGATCGTTACTTGCATGTTATATTCTTCTCTCTTCAGTACAGCTAAACGGATTCCTCCTGGCTATGTGTGCAAGTGCAAGAGATATTGCTGTAAGGGGAGAATGAAAAATGAAGGAAAAATAAAGATAAAAAAAGAACAAATCACCAAGAGGAGGGTTAAAAGGGAAAGGAGAAAGAGCAAAAAAGAATTAGCAAGACAAATAAGAGATGGATTCAAGCGCGCTTGGGAGGTGACATTGACGGGTCATTGTTGCGTTAGGTGCAGAGTGAGACGGGAAAAGGGGCGGAAGAAATTTCACGAGAGGTAACCTGCACTACACTCCACCGGTGAACAGGTGCCTCAAGGGAGGCAGGTTGGGATGGATCTCCGCCAGGATTGACATGGGGCCCTCCTCAATGTCCCTCTCTCGGGACCGAGCACAACACATCCACAGATCGAGCGAGCAGGGATCAGCTATGGCCCTGTTCGGAGGCGGGAAGGAAGGCAAGAGAGGCCTCTAAAAACGCAACATCATCTCGACGCAGGGCAAACTTCGTCCCATGCCAGGGAGAATACCTGGTTGGAATGGTTTCTTGCTTCAGGGAACAGCTTACTGATATGAAAGAAGTGTACCGAGGTACACGACCCTTCTGGAGAAACTCACGAACTCCTTCAAGGAAATCTGTCCTCGTACTTGCATAAAACCGAACGGAGAACAGGGGGACGTCGGCAAACATAACTTTGCAACCTTGCGCCCGTATGATATATCCTTTCACTGAAGGCCATCGAGCGTTAGTGACGACTTGACGACTTGACGCTATGAGGCTTCAGGCATTCACACAATTATGGCTGAGGATAGACAGGAGCTCACAAGTTGGGGGAGCTAAACCGTCCCTTCAGATGTATTCAATACGAGTCAAGAGGTGAAGATCTTGGTTGCCACGGCGGGGCCACTTCCTGACTGTCGACCACACCTACGCAGACAATGTGCGTGAAAGTTGGCCTCATCATGGCCGTGCTCTGTGCTGGGGAGACTGTGCGTTCATACGGCGAGTCCCCGAAGGACCCTGATCCTTGCATTGATCATGATCAGAGACGATAATGAATGGGGAGTCAAAGACAAAAGGGGGTCGTTAGGTGATGACTTGTGCATTTGACATGAGACTTGGATCACCCTGACACGAAGACACGACACACACACATCAGGATGTTGCCATTTCCTCCCAAGGTATGTTTCTATAGGGCAACCACAGGGCCAGGCCCTAAACCCCCTCTGCCACCCAACAGTGGCCCATTAGGGTTAAAGGAGTACTTGGGGGTTTCACGGAGAATTCCTCGGCGAGTCCATTCGCATCGCTATCGGTCTATAAAGTGTCTAGGAAACGACACGGGCATGTGCTCGATATTGGAAGAAGAGAGGGAGAGGTATCTAGCGCTAGCGGGAGACGAAGAAAAAGTTTCTGGGCTGTCTGATTCCTTTGCTTCCTCGCGGAGACCGGAGATCGCCTTCATAGTTGACGTGAGGTACTTTGATCACTGTTCATCCAGACTCTGTTGGTGTGACTCTTGCGCCAGGATTCGTCCATGACCTCGCACTGCTCTCTACTTGGTAGTAAGTGGCTGGCCATGGACTTCTGTCTGAGGATACGGGCCTAGTAGCTTCTGCACGTTTGACTCAAAAGGACCGGGTCACCTTGGTGAAAAGAGAGGGAGGCACATCTTTTGTCATCTCGGTTTTGCAGACAATGGCCCTGTCAGTCAACAGAAGAAGAAAGGGGGTGAGTAGTATCAAGCCTCGATCGATCCTCTGAGTCGTCTCTCCTTCTCTCCCGTGCCCGGCCAAAACCGAGACATGCAGGAGCGCTGGGCAGCTCGTGGCGCCCTGCAACGCTGCATGTGACATTCAAAGACGAAATATTTACACCTGTTGGGTCTCGTTGTACTCATCATGAAAGATCATTAAACCAAGCACTGGGGTAGCAAGAGGCCCTCTCTCGCCTCATGCCCTTGGTGGGATTTGGTTACGTTGTGGGAGGATTCCATCGGCTTTCTAAGTTTGCCTGTGGAGCGGAAGGGGAAAGAGGAAGAGGAAGAGGGAGAAGGGCACAAAAGGTTTTCTCGCTCTCTTCACACTACCAAGCCTGAAGGACACTTTGCAATTGAGCCCGGAGAATGTTCCATGAGGCATTCAATATTACGAGTGCAGTCAGATTGATTCACTCTCTGCTCGGGGCCATGCACCGGGAAACCATGAGCTCCCCGCGTCAATGTTGTATTACGCTCTCGGAGTGCAAGGCCAGGCGAAGGGAGAACGCGGGTATGCGGTTGATCCGTGCCCCCAAAAGGACTTCCGGCGGGTGTGGGAGGGTTTTGATGCCCACCCTGGTAGTTGGCCCTTTGCCCTGCAGGCGACTCATCACAATCTCCCGCCCACCCCTAACCCCAACGCCTGTCAAGATATTAGTGCCATGGAGAGGGGAACACTGAACCTTGACCCCTTGTTAGAGGCAGCTTCGCGCTAGTATTACAGAAAGAGGAGAGTGAGGTGGAGGGCCTTGCTGAAAACATACTGGCATCAAGATCAAAAGGATGAAGAAGGGGACGCATGGGGAGACACAAAATAGTCATGATAACTTGGGAACGAGGGGGAGGGGGCGGGGGCGGCTTAATCTGGGAAGACGACGCAAGTCATTCATTGCGTCGAGGGAAGCAGCTCACTACGATGCAATTTGCATTTAGAAGGCAAGAGAGGATATTATTACAGAGAGAAGGGGGAGGGGAAACCCCAATGTGGCACAGAGCTGTGAGATGGACAAGGGCAGGTCGGGAACCAGTGAGGATCTCGTCAGTCAGTCTGATTGGGTGACGTTGAACCATGACAGTCTCGGAGGAGGCTTGCAGGGCCAGAGTCCAGCGATTGGCGACTAACGAGGGAAGGGTGACTGACTGTCCTTTGATGCGCGAGGATGACTGACTGTCCTTTGATGCGTGAGGACACGGAGATAAAGGCCCAGTTGTGATGCCGAAGGCACGAGATACAGGGGCCGGCCGAACAGAGTAGGCCGCCAGAGTGCGAGAGAGGGGGAGGGAGGGAGGGTACCAAGAGTAGCCTGCAGGACGTCACTATTTGTGG